ATCTCCATTTCTGGGAAGAGGTTCAGCACCAGCAGCACATACCACTGTGAGGGCAAGCGCAAAAATATCTGCTTTTGGTAGATGGGTATAATTCTGTAAAATTAAAAAAATATTTTTTTAAGTAATGTAAAACTGGTCAAAATAAAACAAGATTACACTTCTAAGATAATTTAGGTGAAAAACAGGACTAAATCAAAATGTCTAATGTCACATTCAAGTTTAGGACCTATTTAGAGAATAAACTGCTAAATTTGGGGAGGTTTATTTTTTAAATTACAAAGTAATATACACTCTAAGGGGTAAAACGCAAACACATATATAAAAGTAAATGCCTCTTCTTTATCAACAGCCAAATTTAACTCTCAAAAGAAACCCCTCTACCTCTAGGGATTCATATGCAAACACAAAACACATAGAAACACACTGATTTAATTCCATCTTCTCTAATCAGAAGAGAAAAAAAAAAAAAAACACACTTGATAAGTTACAAATACACATATGCAAACATATATATACACATATTTACAAAGAGCAATGGGATCATATAATTACACTTTGTATTTTTCTTATTCTATTTTCATTCAAAATTTTTATCAAGAAATACTTTGTCACATTCTTGAAACTATGTGCCACACTAATAACTATGTGCCATTATTTACTTAATAATTCTCTTATTAGTAAACACTATTTACATTGTTTTCAACTTGTGTTTATATGTAAATATTTCTATAAGGAAAAACTCCTAGAAGTGAAAATTATGAGTCAATGGGTACATGATTTTTAAATATTAATGCAATACTAATACTTTGATCTCCAAAAAGGATATGCCATTTAAAGTTCCACCACTGATGTACGAGAACATCTTTTTTTTTTTTTTTACCACAATTCCATTATAAATCTTTGTCTTCATGACTTTTTGCAAATGCCCTCAGCTCATGGTTTAGGTTTTATTTCTGTTCTACTGGTTAACTTAAAAGTTTAATACATCTGAATTTATATTCTTCTATCAACTGCTAAGTGTTACAAAGCAAACTTTAATTAAGGGAGAAAAATTACCTCCTGTAAAACTTCATTTGCAAGAAAACGACTATCACCCTCTTCAACTTGTGGACTGGAGATCCTTGTTACATGCCCAAGGTCACCTGGAAGTATTCAAAAAAATAGTCAGGAGCAAAAACAAAACAGCCTTCTCTTTATTTTAAGGTAATCTGGTTATCTTTTTTACCTATTTTAAATATAACTTTGTTGGATGCCCAGTCATCTTCATCTCCTTCTTCAGAGGCAGCATTTGGGATCGAGGTTCGAGATATGAAAATAT